TTAGGTATTACGTGTTTTAAGGTTGTGAACATTCAAATCAATTTTCGGGTCCTTCTAATGACATGCTCCAGGTGTGGTTATCACGATAGTGTCGGATCTACAACGACGTCCAGTTATTTAGTGTGAGAGACTTTTTCAATTTATGGGCAGTCACAGAGCAACGCGAGCTAGACCACTTTCAGCACTAGTCTTGACAACCTCCCAAGATTCACCAGCAAAAACTGCAGCCGTGTCATCGGCGTAAGACAGGATTTTAGCATTTGGTATTGTCATACTGCACAGATTGGTGATATAAATCAGAAATAAGGTTGGCCCCCGAACGCTACCCTGCGGCACACTGTATGATGACACCCCCGCATCCCCACTAGTGAACCCAGGAAGCTTTACCTTTTGTTTTCTCTCCGACAGGTAGCTTTCGAGCGAAGCGGAGTCCCTCTTATTCCAATTTTTTTCAATTTTTTTACAATAGTAGGTTCAGAGACGTTATTGAATGTTTTCTTCAGATCAAGGAAGACCGACAAACATTTTTTATTGTGGTCGAGTTTTTCTGTTCTAAAGATGCTTAATTTAAGAATTGCATCTTCTGTCGATCTTCCTTACCTGAAGCCAAACTGTGTGGGTGCTAATATATCAAATTTATTTAAGTATTTCAGTAATCTAATATTAAGTAACTTTTCCAGAATTTTAGATGCAATATCTAGAACGGTAGAACGGAAATTGGTCTGTAATTACTAATCATCTCTGTCTCCACCTTTCTGCACAGGTGTAATAATAGACTGCTTTAATGATGCAGAAAATAGCCCTGTATCGAAACATAGATTAATTAAGTGGGAAATAACAGGAGCCAAGTCATTGAATGCCAATTTCATGAAGTCATTGGGGATATTGTCCCAGTCTGGAACGCTGTTTGATTCTAAGTTTAAAATTATATTTTTAACTTCGTTTATGTCCGTATGCACCAGATTTTTATCCACAGGACTGTCTCATTGACGTTCTGGATTTTATTGGCAAGTTACTTTCCTATATTTACTAAATAGCTATTTATGAATTTTACAGATTCAGTGGGCGATGATTTCAAATTGATTAGTTCAGTGTTAGTATTTCTTGATTTAATAGTGTAAGTAATACTTTTTATGTTTTTCCATAATAATTTATTGTTATTTAAAGATTTAATAATATTTTCTCTATCATATTGTCTTTTCATTCTTTTTATTAAATTGTTAGAGTAATTCCCGTATCGTCTGTATGTAAGTCAAATAATGTAATTATGTGGGTGTTTTTGTAAGCTTTTCTAAATTTTATTTCTGTTTCTTATACAGCGTAAGATTCCTGCAGATATCCACGGTTGTACGAGTATTATTCTTTTACTACATGGGATAGTAGACACTGATGTATTTAGTTTAAGACTTTCAGTAATTTTATCAATACAAAATAATAGTTCTGATAAGTTTTTAGTCTGTAGGTGTTTTAAAGCATTTTTAAATTTTGTAGTATATTAAGTTTTACTATCTTTTAGTTGTTTTCTTTTTTAATTTAGAAATTGAAAGGAGCGTAGTGGAATGATTCGTAGTGGTGGTTTGCATAACTGCGATTGATGCTTTATATTTATATTAATTTAATTTTAGTATAAAGTGATCTAAAGAGTTTTGCTTTCTTGTAGGTAGTGTATGACCGGCTAATATACCATAGTTTGCAAGCGTGTCTAAGTAGTACATTCTGTTTTTGTATTCCTGTGGTTGTTCCGTAGTTTGAAGCCTAATGTTTATATTAATATCATATTCTATTATAATACTATTATGTGATGGAAGTGACTCGAGATGAGAATATAATCAATTTACAAAGTTTTTAGCATTTGGATACGATGGAGATCGATAAATGCATAATAGGGTGTTATTAAGAACATCTACATCTGTGTAAAAGTAATGGATACATTTGTTGAAAGTTGCCTAGAGTTTCAGTATTTACAACTCGCAAAGCGAGCATAGTTGCATGCTCCGATTACAAGCCCATTAACGCTGGTTTTCCACAAGGCTGTGTGCTATCGCCGACGATGTTCCTTCTGCATATCAATGATAGGTTGCAAGCCAGTAATATTCATTGCTATGCAGAAGACAGCACTGGTTATGTTTTATACACCGGCCGTGCCAATATTTCTCGGGAAAACGTCGCCGAGTATCGGAACAAACTTGTGTCTGAAGTCGAGACTTTGTTGAACAAAGTCTCAGACTGGGGGCGACTAAATCTAGTCCATTTCGATCCCCAGAAGACAAAAGTTTGCGCGTTTACCGCTAAAAGAAACCCCTTTGTCGTGTCTACTCAGTTTCAAGGCACTCTCCTTGTTGCCTCAGCCAGTATAGGAATACTCGGCGTCGACATATCGACTGACATGCAGTTTCGTGATCACTTGGAAGAGAATGCCAAATTGGCCTCTAAAAAGCAGAGCGGGGTATTTCATGCCGGCACACCTCCTGCAACTTTAAAAGGCGCAGGTTCGCCCTCACATGTAATACTGATCGCATCTCTGGGCAGGGGCTCCCCAGTGCCAGCTCCTTCTACTTGACCGCATCCAGCGCAGAGCAGTTCGCATCGTCGACGACCGAGTCCTTTCCGATCGGTTTGACTCATTGGCACTGCGTAGAGATGTTGCATCTCTTTACGTATTTTATCGCAAGTACCACGGGTCTGAGCAATTGTGTGGACTAATTCCAGGCGCTTAATTTCACCATCGCACATCGCGACGAATCTCGCGATACCATCCATTCCAACTGGATGATTGGCGGTTCACCACTGTGCGATTTATAAGATGATTTCTTCGTCGCACAACTTCCTTGTGGAATCGATTACCACAAGCGATTTTGCCGGACCAATATGACTTAGGGACCTTCAAGAAAAGAGCCTACTCCTTTTTAAAAGGTCAGCAACGCATCAGCAATTCCCCTGGTGTTGCAGTTGTTCATGGGCGGCGGTAGTCACTTAGCATAAGGCGAGCCGCATGGTCGTTTGCCGCCTCTCCTATAAGATAATCATAAATATGTAATTGTAAACTGTCATTTTTTTAAAGTTTTTCTAAGCTTCATGCTGGTTCTTCCCAAAACAGAGGATTTCTTCGAACTAGTACAGTGGTAAATTAAACATTAAAATGAGTTTATTAGTTAAATGCAATTTTAATTATGTTAGTAGTTCTGCTAGTAGCAGTACTACTAACACAACTAAAATTGCATTTTTAAATTGTATTTCCTACTTATTCGGCCTCCTTCTTGTGTGGTGCTTTAAATATGGTTAATATAAATTTCCTTATGGAAGAATCACTGGAGGACCTAAGCACCATGCTCAATGACCTCAATAGTGTCTCCCAACGAATAGGACTTAGGATGAACATGGACAAAACAAAGATCATGTTTAATGTCCATGTCACACATATGCCGGTAGTTTTTGGGAGCACTAAGCTCCAAGTTGTTGACGAGTATGTTTACCTGGGACAAATAGTCCGACTAGGTAAGTCCAACTTCGACCGAGAGGTCAATCGACGGATTCAACTCGGCTGGGCAGCGTTCGGGAAACTACGACACATATTCTCGTCAGACAAACCTCAAAACCTTAAAACGAAATTGTACAACCAGTGCGTGCTGCCAGTGATGACATACGGATCTGAGACGTGGTCCTTCACTGCTGGCCGTATGAGGAAGCTCAAGGTCACTCAGCGAGCAATGGAGAGGGCTATGTTCGGGGTTTCGCTGCGTGATAAACTTAGAAATGAGTATATCCGCAGTAGAACCAGAGTATCCGACATAGCCCAACGGATTAGTAAGCTGAAGTGGCAGTGGGCCGGCCATATAGCTCGAAGAACCGACAACCGATGGGGAAGAAAGGTTCTTAAGTGACAGCCTCGTACCGGTAGGCAAGTGTAGGACGACCCCCCACGAGATGGGGTGATGACCTGGTAAGGACATGCAGGAAGTCGATGGATGCAGGTGGCTCAGGACCGTGCTTTGTGGCATTCCTTGGGAGAGGCCTATGTTCAGCAGTGGACTTATGAAAGGCTGTAATGATGAATGATGATGAATATAAATTTTAACTGTTAAAATAAACAGTTGAAATAACTAACAAATTGATTCAAGAAAATAAATTAAATGATCTTAATATACCAATATATTTATACCAATTAACCATTTCATAAGTTCATGCCAACTAGCGTCCTCTCTCGAAACTCGGAACACATGATCTAATCCCTCACGCATTGAAACAGCACATCGCACAAATCCAGTAGGCTCTCAGAAATAAGTATAGGCCAGCAGTGGGTGATCTAAAAATTGTAACTTAAACTATTGGCTACCAGACTGTTAGATTAAATTTCTTTATATTTAATGGATAGTCTTTATCGTAATTTAATAGGATGCACAGTAGCAGGGTTAGGATGGCATTTCAAGAATACATGTTTCATGCGTTATTTTTCTGTCATTTTACTTCAATGTAATTATCAAAATATAGCATATCATTTTTAAAAATTGTAAGAAAATAAAAATGGGTTTTTATTTTTACATTTAACATATTTGTAAGTAATTATTTCGTTTTATATTTTAACAAAGATAAAAATAGATCTTGGCGCTTACAAGTTATATTTTATTTAACGTTACAAATTATATTCAGGGACTTTTGCAAGTACAAGTCTAGGAGATTAATTAAATAAATTGTATGACAGTATCCATATTGTTAAAGGTGCACTGTAAATTTGGAAAGTCATGAGTCTAAATCCGCTATTCGGCTGCTGTTGTGAACCACTGTTCACATAAGTATTTTAAGCATACTTGCAGTAGTTTATAGGAGTATATATAATGCATAACTATTCTTATTATTATTATAAAAAAAGCGATGACTGCACATGGTTTGCAATAGGTTGTTTACAGGTCTAACAATATTCTTTTGCTACTTTCTAATAATTAACATGCACAAATTACAACAATACTTAAAGTATTTCAAATCTCAATCAAAGTTTTGATAGCCTAAACACTGCTTTTGCTCCTAGATTCAATTCGCACCATATAATTGTCAACATTTCTCATCATAAGGTCGTATTTAACTCGAAGCGGTTTACGTAAATCGGCTTCCGTTGCATTAGGCTCCGCTGGTAAGAAGCGATACTGACGTAAAACTGTCGCTAACGCCGTCTTCATGGTCATCATTGCGTATTGGTAACCTGCAAACGAAAAGAAGCCTTATCATTAGAAGAACAAATGCTTTTTTTAAATAATAAATTGCATAAAGAATACGGTCGGTTTTCTCTTATACTACTTTCGCCAAACTGCAGGACAGTTTGTTGGCGAACACACCTACTTTCATTCTATGTATCTACTGTAGTTAAGTTCGTTATCTTAGATTTAACTAAAAATAGAAACATTATTTTAACTTTAAAATAGTATTATTATTTACAAAGTTCTTTATCTAGAAACGTATTTAATAACAAGCTGTAACACCCTATTTCACCCCGTCAAGAGCTGAATTTTCCAAAATCCTTTCTTAGTGGGTGTCTACAAGAAAGGAGTATAATCGTATATGACAAATTTTCATCGGGCGTATATTTTTGGAGACCTCGTGATGAGTGAGTGAGTCAATGGTATTTCGCTTATTTTTTTATAGGATAAAGGTGACAAACGAGCACAGAATGCACATGATATACCTAGTCAGGTCATAAGTATTGTCACACAGTAAAAACTTTTCTTTTAGAATTCTGGCCACAAAAAAGTTCATTGAATTCGAATTTAGAATTGTTCATGAAAATAAAACTGTATACTTTTTAGAATTTTACTCATTTTTAAATATGAAGTGGACGCTTGGAAGACCGTGTTGCAGTTATTGCGTTGCATCGTTGCGGTTACGCGCCAATTCAAATTTTTGACCTACTGAAAAATTTGAATATAACCAAAAGATTCGTTTATCGTACCATCAAACGATACAATGAAGACTCTAGTGTAGATGATAGGTCAAGAAGTGGTCGCCCTCGGTCTGTTAGGACTCCAGCAGTGATAAAAGCTGTGAAGACGCGAATTCAAAGAAATCCCAAACGTAAGCAGAAACTGTTGGCCCTTCTGATGGGGTTAAGCAGAACCACGGTGAAAAGGGTGTTAAATGAAGACTTAGGGCTTCGGGCATATAAAAGAAAAACAGGACATCGTTTGAATGCTCGTCTAATGGACCTGAGACTGAAGAGATGCCGCGCTTTGTTGAAGCGGTACGCGGGAACAAAATATCGGGAAATTCTTTTTTCGGATGAAAAAATTTTTACCGTAGAAGAGAGCTACAACAAACAAAATGATAAGGTGTACGCACACAGTAGTGAAGAAGGGAGCAACCGTATTCCGCGTGTCCAACGAGATCATTTTCTATCCTCGCTCATGGTATGGTTGGGAGTTTCTTATTGGGGCTTAACAGAGGTACATTTTTGTGAGAAAGGTGTAAAAACGAATGCAGTTGTGTATCAAAATACAGCCCTGATGAACCTTGTGGAACCTGTTTCTCATACCATGTTCAATAATAGGCACTGGGTATTCCAACAAGATTCGGCGCTAGTTCGTAGAGCGAAGAGCACACAAGACTGACTGGCGACGCATGAAATCGACTTCATCCGGCACGAAGACTGGCCCTCCTCCAGTCCAGATTTGAATCCATTAGATGACAAGATATGGCAAAACTTGGAGGAAAAGGCGTGCTCAAAGCCTCATCCCAATTTGAAGTCACTCAAGATATCCTTGATTAAGGCAGCCGCCGATATTGACATGGACCTCGTTCGTACTGCGATAGACGACTGGCCGCTCAGATTGAAGGCCTGTATTCAAAATCACGGAGGTCATTTTGAATAAACTTTAAAGTCATAAGAATCTATGTTTTGTGAAATTCATTTTGGTATATAAATGGTTACATAATGAATGAACTTGTTTCAATTATTTTATATTAAACATGTGACAGAATTTATGACCTGACTAGGTATATGGCCCTAGTATACACATATATATGTGTGTGTATACTAGGGCGCATATAGTGCTATTGGAAGTTTCCCTCATGCTGGCCTCCATCTGGGATTCCAGGATCCACCTACCACTAAATGCTTACTCGCTTGCCGTGCCGTGAGCCGACGGACCGTTGGCCTACCATCCTGCCAACGTCCTTCCTCACAGTTGGTCCTGGGTATCATCGGATCCTTCCGCTAGTTGGCTGTTTGCGACCCTGCAAGAAGAGCCTGAACTTCGCCTCTCTACGACAGGCCAGTGATCCCCTTCAACTCTTGTATGCGTGCGAAAGCAAGATAATAAATAGGTACTATAAATATTAACTTATTTTAAGAACCCAACTGAAACTGAAACTCTGAAACACCCTAACGGTATAGTGCTAAATGATATAACTATTAATCAAATATGTTTAATCAAAATTGAAACCGAACAGACCCATAGGTAACCTAAGCGCATTCCATAATAAAAAAAAAAACTTATTTAAACAAAACAAAATATAAACATTAAAGCGAACAAATGCGTTGTTAGCCCGAGCAGACCAGACCCCAAAATCAGCTACTGTTCACAGGTGAACCACTATTTGAAAAGAAAGTCGGCGACGGTGCCTCAAGGAAAGACCTTTATGAATTACAAAGTTACGTAGCTAAACTGCCGTCTCAATAAAATTATTACATGCAATTTTGTAAAGTAATTTACCACTAAAATGGGTCATCAACGGGCTATAGAAGCTATATCTTGCTAAAAACTGTAGCTCCACAATATTGCCGGTGATAATTTTGATGCAATTTTAAGCTAAAATTATACAACAATTTGCAAAGTAGCAGAGGAAAACCATGATATAGTACTGATGATACTTCATTAATTTTCAAATTAAAACGACAATTACTAATAGTCCAATATCCCAGCGTTACCAGACGTTACTTATTTTCTGACGGACGTAATGTGTCAGACCGGCTAGTTTGGCCAGACAGCCATTTTCCAATAATCAAGGTACGTAAAAACATTACTCATCTCACATTAATTTTCCCAGCTGATTTTTGTAACATATACATGTTAGATAATATCATTACAAATCAGTCATCAATACTCCCAGACACTTTCCGTTAGCTTTCCCACTATAGAATAGAATAGAATTGAATGATTTTTATTCAATATGGATTATTACATAATACTTATTAAAAGTCATTATTTTATTTACCACTGGTTCAGAAAATACCTCTGTCCTGGGAAGAACCAGCAAGAAACCCAGCGGGACTTCTTTTTTAAACATAATTTCACTTAATAATAATTTTGTTTATACAATTTTAAGTGAATTTTCATAGAACCAGCATGGTGGCGATCACCTTATCCCCAGGGGTTATTTTCATTCATGTATTCCTTGATATTATAATAACCCTTTTTGTACAGTTTTTCTTTAATAAAACTTTTAAACTTGTTTATTGACAAACTTTGAACATGTTCTGGGATTCTGTTGTAAAAGCGTATACATTGCCCCATAAATGAATTACTAATTCTGTGGAGTCTAGTAAGTGGCATTACAAGCTTATGTTTGTTCCTAGTGTTTAAGGTATGAACATCCTTATTCTTATTAAAGCTATTTATGTTTTTATGTACATACATTACATTTTCATAAATATATTGCGATGCCAAAGTTAATATGTTTATTCCTTTAAATTTTTCTCTGAAGGACCCTTTACAATTTAGATTATAAATTACCCGTACGGCTCTCTTTTGCAAAACAAATATAGCTTCAATATCAGTCGCATTAACCCATAGCAAAATTCCATAAGACATTACGCTATGAATGTAACTAAAATACACTAACCTAGCTGTCTCAACATCTGTGAGACTTCTAATCTTTCTTACAGCATATGCTGCAGAACTAAGTCTGCTTGCTAATTTAGATATATGGTATATATACCCATTGAAGTTTCACGTCAATAGTAATGCCGAGAAAAACAGTGGTATACACAAGACTCAACTCCTCCCCATTTAAGAGCACATTGGTTTTCGAATTTTTTACATTAGGTATTGTAAATTTAATACATTTTGTCTTATTGTCGTTTAAGAGCAAATTGTTGGCGTTAAACCAATGTACTAGTTTCGATAGAGCATTATTTACATCGTCTTATTTAATTGACTGCCGTTTCAGTTTGAAAATTAAAGAGGTATCGTCAGCAAATAATACTATATCGTGATTCTCCCCTACAAGATAAGGTAAGTCATTAATATAGATTAAGAACAGGAATGGGCCAAGAATCGAGCCCCGAGGAACGCCCATTGATACTACCGATCCGGAGGAACATTTACCATTAATGACGACTTTTTGAGTTCTGTTACTTAAATATGAAGTAATAAGTTTAAGCGCCAAATTTTTTACACCGTAATGTTGTAGTTTCAGTTAGTATCAACGCACGTTTATAAAAAATCAAAAAACTTATACATAAAACGTTCATAGGTTGCTGAAGGGAACTGTTATTTTTTTATAGGATAGGGTGACAAACGAGTACACAGTCCACCTGAAGGTAGGTCGTTGCTGTGACCCATAGACATCTACATCTATCCTTAAAAAAATAATCAAAATGGAGATGCGCTTTCAACCGTGAAGACTAAGATGAAATGCCTCTTTTTTAGTAAAAGGGGTCTTCGGTTATTTACACTTACCATACGAAACACAGCAGAATTAATCTGCTATTTTACGCTGGTATTTTGGGAGAGCGTGGTCCTTCCCCGGTTGAGCCGATCCATTGATATTCCAATTATACAATTAACATAGCTGCAATCTACCACTACGCCATTTATGATAGAAACAAGTGAATTGCCTCGTTTAGACAGGAGGGGAGTAGTTTCAAATAAGCTTCTTTACACTGAAATGAAAATAATGAGTCATAGAGTTTACAGTGCTTTGAAGATTGGGTACAAACACGTCCGTAAGGATACCGATATAAGTAAAGAGCGCATATTATGTGACGATTTCATTAATGCCTGTTTGGAAACAAATTGAGCTTTTATAAGGTCTGCACGTAAGCGGGATTGTTTTGCAACGATTCGCCAACAAGGTAGGCCAACTATGTTTTTGACAAAAAGTGCTTAAAAATTATTAAGAAATTTATGGATCATAATAACCCCCGGGAACGAGATAATCGCTACCAGGCTATTTCTAATTTGTTTTGTGTAATTAATTGTGTAATATACATGATTATAAGATATTATTTAAAAAAAGTCCCGCTGTATTTCTTGCTGGTACTTCCCAGAACTTAGGTATTTTTTCCAAACCAGTAGTAAATTAAACAAAAAGTGACTTTCAATAAGTATTATTTATAATCTATATTGAATAAAAAGTTTCTGTTACTGTTTCTGAATATATTTAAACAATGTTACTTCAGCTATATCGCCGAGAAGTTGAGTTTATACACGTGAAGCAGCATAGAGGCTATAGGTTGAGCAACATTACTAGAAAACTGGTAGGTACGCTTTGCAATTACTGCGAGATATTGCAACAAAAAAAAACACGATTACTTTTAGGTGTGGAAGAACATCATATATAAGGAGACTACCATGTCTATAAAATATATGCCGAGTTTATTTTCCAGACATGGTAGTTTGAATTAACATAAAATATAAACACACAAGTAGTAAAACGATTGACTTTTATATTTATACAAGTAAGCTGGACTGGCTATACCATACAAAATGCCTATGCCGATTTGAAAGACCCTGTTCATACCGGGAACTAAAATTGACATAATATGCCAGTATGTTGTGTTATCTATGTGTATTAAATGGTATCTCTGTATTTTGAATCTTTGTTTAATTATGTTTGATTTTAGTAACAAAATAAGAATTATTTTTAGTAATAATAAGAGTGTGCGTAATATTATGTAAAACTCGTTACCAAAAGGAAAGTAGGGTAACATTTCACAATGCGAATCTAAAGCTAATATTAAACAAATTAAAACTATTTGACAATATAGGTAATTAAAATTTTGTTTCTAATCTTAATATCGTAATTACCAACATGTTTGGCTTTATATTACTTAGTTTTGAAAAACAATAAAATTCAATAGCGTTGTCGAGTCCCTTGTCTATAATACTTACCGCTGTTCTTTTTACCCATATTGTTTACAACCAAAGTCGCCGACAACAGATAATTATTAAATGTTTATTAATTAACAGGTTTCCAACTGAACCTAGACTAAAATGATGGCTAAAAAGCACAAGCATTGTGAATTGGCACAATGTTTGTGCTTTCACAGACAACTGTATTATTGGATATGAGGAACGTACCACTTTGAAAAAGTGCAGTATACCCACAACATTTTCTGATAGTACCAGTACCAGTAAGTATAAAAGTATTAGATTATTATTTCCAATGTTTTTTTTTATTTCTTCCCTTCTTATTTTTCCCCAGACACAAGGGCCATAGCCAGGTGTAGAAAGGTCACCTGATAATAACTTTGTGTTTGAGACGTAAATTTGTTAAATCTGTTTAAATATGACCAATTTATTATATCAAGGGAATAAATTTATATTGGAACTGCAAAACTATTAATATCCTTAGTGACTTTGCGTGATTTTAGGTGATAAATTGCTCTTCAATGATAATTTCATGGTCTTCTATCAATTAACAGTAAAATGTTTATTTGTGATATATGATTTATATCATTGGTCCCATTTAATATTGATTGACACCATAAAATATATGCTGATATTTATTTTAGGTTCGAGTAGACTTCATAATTACATAAATGCAGTTCTGCAGTAATGATGAATACTACATATGAAATAAAACTAATTTTACGGATTATACCACGTTTAATTTTAATTTTTTACGCGGGTATTTTTACACAACTTTGGATGAACGTTCCATAAAAACCCGCGTAAAAGAACATTATGAAACGTGAAACACCGACGCTCCAGGAAGCCTGAAATACGTCCACATTTTCAATATCGTCCCAAGCAATGTATCAGATTTGATAGACGATAAATACTCGCAAGAGAACATCGATTATCGATTCTTTAATTACGATATCAGGACGTCAAACACCTCAACCTTCTCCCCCCCACCCCCCCCACCTCCTCCAAGCCTTGGATTCTATAAAGTGCCCGAAACGTCAAGAATTAAAAAGGTTAAAATTAATTAAAAAAGTTATGATTATTAAAAAAAAACTTAAGATAAGTTTTATTGCAAATTAAGTTCTATTCACGGCAAACTTCCTAAGAGCTACACTCATGAACGGGAGAAGAAATAAGTTCAGCTTGTTGTGTTGGCGAAAGAGAATCTACCACCTCATATCGTCCCATGTGTGTTGCAAGAGGCGACAGAGGAAAACAAACAAGAGATGGGCAATATCATCTTCCTAACGACAGTTAAAATTAATAAAGGCTTCGGTTAACAACCCGCCTGCCAAGCGTGGCAACTATAGCTATGTTCAGTTCAGTAGACTTTTGATAGGTTGTAATGATAACGATGATGAATTCTACTCTTTCGAATTTTCCCTCATTATTTACGGTAGAGTGAAAACAAAAAAGTATATATAATATCTCCGAAAATATTTATGAAATAAAAACTGCATAATTTTCCCATCAAGACTAAAAAAGCAGCAACCTACATAGATGTCACTACTGTGCACATGCCGCAAAGAGTTCGAGGCCAAAAAAGTGTTCGTTACGCTGAACCCAACGTGGGAGCACTTCAACTGGAGAACTTCTCAGATATGCAGGTTTTTCTTCACCTCCGAAAACGTGGTAAATGGACACTTCAAATTGCAATTAAAATATATGCTAAAATATATAATAATGCTTATGTTATACGAAATTTACGTTTGGATGAGTTTGATTACCACCTATGTTAAGTGTAAAATAAAATAAACCTTAGTTTATGTAAAACCAGCTATCTATATTTTGTAATTAAAATACATTCATTTACATATTTATGCTCATGTGAGCTATGAAACCAGGACTGTCACAAAAATCTTAATTTGTCTGAAAATGTGAGAGCTATCTTAAATGACAAACTGATTTATCAATCTCATTAAATGTAAAAAAGTAAAGGAGTAAAAAAAATGTTTTTGTTATATGTACCGTATATACTTTCATATTATGCATTTAGTTAAAAGCTGTTATTTTGACATTACTGTTATTGTCTGTTTACACTTCAATTTTATTTATGTGTATAGATTAAATTCTGATAATTGCACATGTCACAGGTAAATTCTCAAGATGTCGTCAATGTTATGACGTGTCTATTTTTGGTTAAAATTGATGTTATATACTGTTTGAAATATAGAATATTTTTAATTATTTTGTTAGTTTTGATATTTTGCAAAGAAAAAGCCACGTGGATAATTTGCATGATTTTGGTAAATACATTTTTAAGCAAAATATTTTACAGATAATTTTTTAAGTTATTTTACTATTCAAAAACTATTTTCTTGAAAAAACAATCATTTTTCGATACTCCTTGTAAGTAAAATGTACATCACTAGCTAACGCACACAATAACAAATCAAAATTTGTCATGCGTTTTCGGCCTGTCAGGTCGTTTATACGCCAGTACTATATTCTAAGTCTATGGGGAATTCCCTATAAAAATATTATTTTTAGTTAGTTTAAAAAATCAGTAAATTTGAGATCAATTTGAGACAAATGATAATAGGATTTAAAAAATGTGACCATTATAAGTTTATACTTGAATATGTAAACGGCAAAAAGTTTGAATCAGCAGTAACCTAGTGACTCAGTGACTCAGAACTATGAATTTAATCGTTGAAAGATATGCATCCGCCTTATCACTATTGTCGTGAAACTCTTTAAACAATATTAATGTTTACTTACAAGTTATTGGTTATAAAAATAATGTTAATGGAATTGTTAATATTTCCTTACTTACCTAAGCAATTTCTAGCTCCGTGACTAAAAGGTATAAAAGCGGCCGGATACTCGAGTGGACCTTCCAGAAACCGTTCCGGTCTGAACTCTTCAGCATCTTTGCCCCAATACCGTGGATTGCGATGAAGAGCCCAAATGTTAATAAGAGCACCAGAATCCTTTACAAGTGTTAAACCAGATGCTGCGAAATTAAAAATATTCAGTGGTACAACTAAACTATATTTTTCAAATAATAATAGCTTGATAAAGGAGCTCACAGTCCACCTTGTAAGTGGATGATTTGGACCATAGACATACATTTATCTTCAATTAAGAATCAGAATACACATGCGTTGTCACCCCTGACTAGGACTACGAAGAAATGCCTCGTACGTGTAAAAAATATTTCTCGGGTACTCATCACTCACCATACAAAACACAGCAGGATCAAGCTGCTAAATAGCAGCGTAAAATACGCTGGTGTTCTTTAAGAGCGCAGTCCTTTCCCAGTCATGCCGACCCATTTGTTCTAATTTAGCTGCAGCCCGGCTCTACCAAGCCCTCTTATCAACGCGTAAAAGATAATTGATATTCAGTGGCCTATTACATAATAAAGAGATTAAAATTTTTCGGCATGCTAGGCTGACGGATTGTCGATTTCAGTACCAGATAACTCGCACATTTGACGCTGCTTCCCATCACCAGTTTAGGTTTTTGTTTTATATCTAGCTTAGACCGGATAGCCTGCACTGCTCTGTTATGGTCTGAAGGATATCGAGAGCTAGTATAATCACGAGTTAAAGTCATCCTAGTCGTCAGGGACGACAACGCATCTGTAGCCTTCTCTGTAAGAAATTGGCAACAGATGTCTATGGACAGCAGTTGCCACTTACCATTAGATGGACTGTTAGTTGGTTTGTCACTTTCAATTAAAAAAAGTACTTTCATGTGCTTACGTAAAGTGATATATTCTTCCAATTTTAAGCTATAAGCTGCTATAAGGCAAATATATATATACCAGGTGTTTGTGAAACTCTCCCAAAAACGAAGACAGATGATAGTAGATACAACTTAAACATGGGTCACAAATAAATTTGATCCCGAGGAAAAAAAATCACCTTTTCACAACGTTTTATAAACTTTATTCACGCTCCATCATGTTAGTATAGCTAAATGAAACGATAATTTCATAAAAAAAATCATGAAAATATTTAAACAAAAAACCATCAGTGAAACTTAAAAGAACATCAGCTGACAATATGGTCAATATCCTCGCGGGCGCCGAACTGTTATAGGTCCCGTCACGTAAAAACGCTGGCCTTGAACCTGGGCACTGAGCAATTATTAAAGTGGATAATCAAAGTGGTGGTTCGAAGTTTCATTTTTCATTTCCATTTTCTTATACAAAATCAAAGATAACGATGAAATAGTGTGAAACAATACCCAAAAAAAAAGAACTGCTTGTTGCGTCAGGGTACAATTGATTGTGTAATTGTATTATAAATGACAACCAGAACTTTTGAATTCCATATGAAGAGTAGTCGTAGGGATAAAACATATAAATTAAATAAACGTTGGCGATGTCATAACATACATAACGCTTTGACGATGTCTGGAAGGTTCCAGTGCTTCAAGTAATACATTGTGCGCATTTGATTTAGCAGATTGATTAATAATATTTGTTTTTGAGACAGTTCCGTGTTGACTATCACAAGAGACAGTTAAATTGTTTTGTTTATTAAATTATTGTAGTTATTACTTGTTATTTATTACGTAATGATATTATTCTTGTTGTTACGTTTTAAGGTTCTTGCTTTGTTTTTATAATGCCTAACGCGTACGTTTATAGTGCTCGTAAATACGGCAACATGTTAATGGGCCTTAGAGAAGCTCGCGGGAATGCTTCGCATGCATTGCGAATTTACCGAGAGAAATTCCCGACCGCTCGTCATCCGTCTGACTCTCGTCTGATAACAGCAGCATTTCAGCGAGTATTGGAAAATCGGCCCATTGCTCTGGTAGCAGCAGGAGGTGGAAGTCAAGTGGCTTTTCACTCAGAGGAGCGCATTTTAGATGTCGTTCGGCGGAATCCGAATCTAGGTACAAGAAGTATCGCTAAATTGTTAAGGCCTCTGGATGGAACAAGTGCGTCATACTGTACAGTTAACAAAATCTTAAAGCGTAACCGAATGCACTCATACAAAGTGTACAAAATGCAAGCTTTAGTTCCCGGTGAACACGACCGCCGGCGAGTTTACTGCCGTTGGTTATTAGACCAGCAACAACGTGAGTGACTAATTTTTTTTAAGTAACTTAGTACTGAACTGATCTGAATAGTTACATATATGAATACATCAGAATAATAAACATACCTACACGATGAATAAAAACGCATAACTCTAAACTTGGCTACATTTCGTTTAAGTATTTTTTTTCATTAGCGGGGAATCGATCAGTTATTTGGGTTATTTAACCTGTGAATTCGAATTAAAGTGGCTACGTGGAGATAAGCACAGTGGCAAAATAGTGGGGTTAAGTAGATAAGATAGGTATTTAGACAAGTGTTGTAAATTATTAGGTATTGTGGTATAGCCCGCTAGCAGCGCGCCGCGCGAATTCGGAGTTCGCGCGTACAGTGACCCCTAGTCAGCTGATTGTAATTCAGTAATTCCATTGCTGGTTTTATCTTTAAGTATTTTTATGATTTTTTTTAATCATGATCAATTTTATATGACACCCATCATCAAAGGTATAGCTTGTACTGTCGTCTATCTTCGGTTTCGTAAGCGTTTTTAAAATACCCTATATATATATATATATATATATATATATATATATATATATATATATATATATATATATATATATATATATATATATATATATATATTAAATAAGGTTGTGGATACTCTTACGCAGCCACCTCACAAGTATTTTATAAGCGGCATCAAACATAGAGAACCATTACAAACAAGTGTTGTGTGGCATTTCATCTTAGTCTTCAGGAGTGACAACGCATCTCTAGCCTTTTTGTTTAAAGTTGTCCATGGGCTTCAGTAGCCTCTTACCATCAGATGGATTGTAAGTTTGTTTGTCACTTCAATTTTATAATAAAAGTAATTTTATATACTTACGTAAACTGATATCCTTATCCAATATTCGAGATACAACGGGAACTGGAGTGTAAAGCCTCATAGTCTCTTTGATGACAGCATCCAGATATTTTAGTTTCGGTAAGTCTTCATACGTAACTGGCCTACTTACGTCTCCGAAGACTTCGCACAATCTGATACATTATAAATGTGATATGATACATTAAAAATTAAAAAATAATTTCGTTAGTCTGCTTATACCACATATTTTGCATCAAATTATTTTAATGTACGGCTTGGGGTAATGGCATTAGAGAGTTACCTTTATGCCAAATTCTACAAAATTTTACACCAGTAATATGAAAAGGACATCTTCGAGAAATAATGTAAAAACAAATGTTCTCAAAATGTGAGGCTGGAGTAGATGTACACGTCGTTTACGGGATGGCGACTATAGTGGATTTAAAGAAGTAACTGCAAAAAAATATCAGCCAAGCCAAATGATAACAGATTAAGGCAAAATCAAGGCATAAAAACGAACTATGTCCAACCAATACTGTGTTCAAGATAATTAATATAATAAAAAAATGTCACTCAATAGTTTTCCTCTTGATAAATTTATTCTACAGATTATTCAGCAGTTAACTCACTAGAATGCTCATAGTTATAAGACATATAGATAAAGATAAAATTTAAAAGTACTTAACACGCATTAAGCATGAGCTATGATGATCCTGATAAATAATTATTTTATTATATTTTGGTGATTCTGATCAGGTTTCTAGATTAAGATTACCAGGCACCCTGAGGACTGACGAGAAGATCCTGAAGCTGGAAAAAGAAATGGACAAGTTACGCTGGCATGGAGGTCCGAAGAGAGGGGGAGGACACGGTAATCCTCGAATCGAGCAACTTGTTCTATCACCTGGAGGGAGACCATCTGTTCCAAGGAGGCGTAGGATTTATCGTCCACAGGCTTCTCGTTAACGACATTGTAAAGATTGTTAGTGTGTACCTTATACTCGTAATCACCAAATGCATCTTCCTGATAATAGCCAAAATTACAATAAAAAAACTGCGGTTGCCAACCCGCTCGCCAAGCGTGGCAACTATGGCAAATACCCCCCATGAATGTAACAAAGAGACGGCCCCCAGTCCCCGGCGGCCCCGCTATTCCTGGCTACGGTGGCGACCATGGTAACGGCGGGGCAGGGGGTGCTAAGAATCTCCGGTGGAGGTTCGGTTGCCACCTTAGACGACTCGACCTGGCAACGTACAACGCACGCACCCTGAGGACTGACGAGAAGATCGTGGAGCTCGAAGAAGAGATAGACAAGTTGCGCTGGCATATTATAGGATTATCCGAAGTCCGAAGAGAGGGGGAGGACACGGTAATCCTCGAATCCGGCAACTTGCTCTATCACCGGGAGGGCGACCATCTGTCCCAAGGAGGTGTCGGATTTATCGTCCACAAGTCTCTCGTTAACAACGTTGTAAAGATCGGGAGTGTGTCGACGAGGGTTGCGTACCTTATACTCAGAATCACCAAACGGTATTTGCTGACGGTCATACAGGTTTACGCACCAACCTCGGCAAAGCCCAATGAGGAGGTGGTGGAAAAGTATGAGGATATATCTAAAGCCATGCATTCCTACAAAATCCACTGTACGGTGTTAATGGGAGATTTCAAAGCAAAACTACTCACAAGAGAAAAAGGTGAGCTGAAGGGAAATTTGGAATAGGGCAACGGAACTCAAGGGGCCAGCAGCTGGCCGATATTATGGAGAAACAGGAACTCTTTACGATGAACTCTTTCTTCCAAAAGCAGCCTTACAGGAAGTGGATCTCATCGAGTCTCGATAGTTTGACAAAAATGAGATTAACTTAATTATCACGACCAGACGACAAGTGTCCAGAGATGTCTCAATGATTGCGAGGGTGAAAACTGGTAGCAATCACCGAATAATTAGAGGCACACTGAACTTAGGTAAGTTAAGTTAGAGAATTCTCGTCTAATGAAGTCAACGCTCCGTCCCCCTCGTGCTCTAATCCAGAGTCCTGAAATCTCTCTCGAAGAAGATTGCAATAAAGTGGCCGATATGAATGATAAGCTCGTGGAAACTGTCCATGCGGTCGGAGATAATTTTTACAAGACTCGCCGAAAAAGAACACAAAAACCGATCACACTCTTTATCTCATGGCTGTTAGATGGGAGATGCAGCTGCAGTCGTCAGAGGATTTGACGGAATACAGGCAACTGAACAGACAGATCTCCAAATGCATGCAGCGGGACCAGGTCTCCAATGTCTTTTCCAGAGATCTGTCTGTCGAACTGTCGAAGCTGAATACCGAGTGTTTCAGGATCTTTTCCGGGAAACCTGAGAGTTTGAGTGAAATTGAGAGGTTCTATCAGCAGCTGTACACGTCATCGTTGGTGCCAGCCTTACGCAAGTTTGAGTAAAGAGCGAGTTTTATCCGACACAATTCCGATGATATCCCGGACGTCAGTCTGAGCGAGATTAGAATGACTTTCCAGCACCTTAAAACGGCAGGGCCTTAGGTGAGAATAGAATTACAGCGAAGCTTCTGGAAGCGGTTGGAAAACCGGTACTTGAAATCCTTCAGAAGTTCTTTAATTCTATCCTACTCTAGTAGATTACTCCGGAGGCGTGGAGTAGAAGTGCGGTGGTCTTGTTTTTCAAGAAAGGCGATAACGATCTCTTGAAGAACTACAGACTGATTTCCCTTTTAAGCTGTGTCTACGTGCTGTTTTCGAGATTTATTTCGAATCGTCTCGCACGCAGACTCGACGACTTCCAGTCTCCCGCAAAATCATGTTTACGAAGAGGTTTTAGTATCATAGACCTCATACACACCCTTTTTTTACGGAATTTTACGGAAGACAGAAGAGTACAACCAGCAACTTTGCCCTGCGTATGTGGACTATGAGAAAGCCTTTGACTCCGTTGAAATTTGGGCAGTGCTACATTCTTTTCAGCGATGCCAAGTTGACTGACAGTATATCGAAGTACTGAAGTGTTTGTACAGTAGGGCTTCGATGGCTATCCGAGTACAGAATCAGAGTACGAAATCTATTTAACTGCAGAGAGTTATACCTTAAGGGTGACGTTATATCCCTGAAACTCTTCACCGCTGCTTTGGAAGACGTTTACAAGCTACTGAACTGGAAAGGATACGCTATTTACATCAATGGCGAGTACATCACTTACCATCGATTTGCCGACGATATAGTCCTTATAGCAGAATCGCTGGAGGACCTAAGCACTATGCTCAATGACCTCAAAAGTGCCTCCCGACAGATAGGTCTTAAGATGAACATGGACAAAACAGAGATCATGTTTAACGTCCATGTCACACCTATGCCGGTAATTGTTGGGACAACTAAGCTCGAAGTTGTTGACGAGTATGTTTAGTTGGGATAAATAGTCCGACTAGGTAAGTCCAACTTCGACCGAGTGTTCAATCGACGATTTTCGACATACAACTCTTCTGGATCTGAGATGTGGTCCTTCACTGCTGGCTGTATAAGGACACTCAAGGTAGCTATAGAGAGGGCTATCCTCGTAGTTTCTCTGCGTGATAAACTTAGATATGAGGATATCCGCAGTAGAACAGAGTAACCGACATAGCCCAATGGATAAGTAAGTTGAAGTGGCAATGGGTCGGCTATATAGCTTAAAGAATCGACAACCAGTGGTAAAAAAAATGTTCTCGAGTGGCAGCTTTGTACCCGTATGTGAAGTGTAGGGCGACCTCCCACTGGATGAAGTGACGACCTGGTAAGACATGCAGGAAGTTGATGGATGTAGGTGGCTCAGGACAGTGCTTTGTAGCATTCCTTGGTGGAGGTCTATGTTCGGCAGTGCACTTGTGAAGGGCTTTATTGATGATAATGATGATGAATAATAATCATTATTACATTATTATATCACATTTTATGGGTTGTTTATATCGCCACGAGATCTTTCAAGATGTCATTCAATCTCTACGAAACAAATGGGATGGAAACGAATAGTCGTTCTTATAATTGACGGGGCAAATAGCTTGCAACTTACTCTTCATAAACTTTATTTTGCACATCCATATATCTGGAGAGCATCGCCGAAGTAAATGATGCGCCAACAGCAGACGTATCTGTCCCGGCTAAGACGATTACGAGAATTTCTTCCCGAAGTTCTTCATCGGTGAAACGGCGATTGCCTGATGATTCTATCATTATTTCTAGGAACGTCTTGTAAGCACTTCTGTTTGCATCTGCCAAAGAAGTTCGTGTCTGTTATATAATCTATCAAAACGACATATATATCATACATAGTGTTGTAGCACGAAGAAGTCGGCATGATCGGGGTGAGACCATGCTCTCACAGAATACCAGCATAAAATATCAGCGGAATGTTGCTGTGTTTCTTATAGTGAGTGTAAAGAAACAGAGACCCTTTTTTATTGGAAATGAGGCATTCCGTCTTAGACCACAGCGCTAACAACACATCTACATTTGATCCTTAATCGAGGATAAATAATAATATAATAATAATAAAGTCTTTATTTATCTTCTCACATAACAATGTAAATATCAGACGGACTGTGTGCTCGTTTGTCACCCATATCTTTAGAAAAAGATGATATTTATGTACCCATCATATCGTAAACATTTCCCAGCTAGACCGTGGCCTCTATCTTAGCCTGGCGAATTGCTCCCCGATTCGCTATGATCAAATCGTTTGAAATGCGGCCTGGCGATTGTAATACTGGACATTTGGTAACACATTTTTATGATTTTTTCATTTGGAAGCATTCTTATATTGAAGAAACTCATTAAAAAGGGTATAACGTAAATTCGTAAACTATATTTAAAAATTAGCTTCACAACGTGTAAATACTAGTATCTTTATAAAAATCAGAATTGGTATACCATTTGACTAGAATAATAATGAGTTTACCTTAAAACTTAATTAGGTAATTATTATCAAAGTGAACTGACGAATATATGTGAAAATAAGTGTTAATAATCATAAAAATATAAATCAGCAGCATATTTTTGTAATATCTAAAAATTTTAAATTAAATTATGTACTTATTTAATATTAGTAACGTTAAATCACAAAATATTACTTTATTTTAACTCTATCTATGAAAATGACTCGTAAACTCAACGCTTGCCTCACAATATCGGAAGTAAAAACGCTTTGGGCTAATTCATACACGTTGCAAATAAACTCCATTAGATGGCTCTGTAAATATATTTTGCACAAACAAGCGTCATGAAGTCTCTGATGTTTAAATATTTTCGAATAAGTTAAAAAAAGATTATCATGACATTACTATAAATATTGACGTATTCTCACGTAAAGACGTATAAGTTTGTTATACAAAAGAAATCACCTGACTCTATATACAATATTTCTATTATATCAGACATCTTAGAGAAGGAACTATCAATACCCTTAATGCTGAAAATAACATGCTGAAACAGTTAAGAATTTAGCTGAATTGGGTGAAGCTATCAGTAGCTCAACTGGAGATATATCAGTACTTCTAATGGACGGCTCCGTGGTACAGTGGCTTAGCAATGAGTTGTTGCGCTGGGGGCCGCGGGTTCGAATCCCGCACGGAACAAGTGTTTATATAGCCTACAATTAATTGTTCCGGGTCTGGATGTTACTTCTCGTGCAGTTTATGTTTGTAAACTGCCTCCACGACGCAGGAGAAAATCCTAGTGTGGGGGTAAAGTTTTTAAAAAAGAAAATGTGTATGCAATATGTTCTTCATGTGGAGTCAGATACTGAAAATGCTGTATGGACTGTGGACTCAAAACAAAAAAAAACTCCTCAGTCAGCTTTATGAAGAAAATAATGAGACTAATATAGAATATTAATGAAAGGTCTAAATATATAATGGGGTTATTTTTCAAAAAGTAGCAAAAATTTAAACTTAAGTTCAAATATATAAATAATGATATACCGTTATTGCAGTTTTTGAAATGTGAATTAATAATTATGAATTATAAAAACACATTATTAATAGTAAATATGGCTTCTAATTTATTTGACATTATCTCAAATTGAATATGATATTCTTATATAAAGGATAGGGTGACAAACGACCACACAGTTCACCTGATGATAAGTGGTTGCCGTGACCCATAGACATCCACAACTATCTTCAATAAAGGATCAAAATACAGATGCGTTGTCAACCGTGAGGACTAAGATGGAATGCCTCGTTTCCAGTGAAAAGGGTCTCCGGTTCTCTACACTCACCATACGAAACACAGCAGCAGTGTTAAGCTGCTATTTTACGCTGGTATTCTGTGATAGCGTGGTCCCTCTCCGGTCAAGCCACCGATCCATTCGTGCTACAACTATACTAAAAATATAGCTGCAGCAGGGCTCTACCACGTCTACATAAAAAAGTTATGGGCAAGAACGTTTTTGCCTACCGAGAAACCCTTACGTATGTCTGCGTGCGCACTAAAATCAGTTACAATGGTACGAAACCTATCCACCTGCAGAGAGGTGACGGTGACTTTATATCCCCGAAACTCTTCACCGCTGCATTGGAAGACGGTTTCAAGTGCAGTAGGACTGGAAAGGATACGGTATTAACATCAATGGCGTGTACATCGCTCACCTTCGATTTATAGTCCTTATGGCAGAATCGCTGTAGGACCTAAGCACTATGCTCAATGACCTCAATAGTGTCTCCCAAACGGATAGGTCTTAAGATGAACATGGACAAAACAAAGATCATGTTCAATGTCCATATTATACTTATGCCGGTATTTATTGGGAGCACTAAGCTCGAAGTTGTTGACGAGTATGTTTACTATCATTTATTATCTAGTCCGAAATTGCTATGATTATTTTTGAATTAATTAATCCGTATAAGACGATAGAAATTCACATCCCCATATGAGTATTCTAGAAGTGACACCAAGGGCAGTTCGATAAAAAATGACCCGGTGTCAAGAAGTCCAGATCAGCCGTATCAGTGCTGAGAGGATACAGCGAGCGGGAGTTCATAATCGCCTCTACTTTTGTAAAAAACGAGCCTTTCGAACGTGAGCTTCACGTCGCTGAGAACACGTCTAAAATGCGTCTTAGCGGATTTAACAGCCGCCTCATACAAACCGCCGTGATTCGGACTGCTTGAAGCATTGAAAAGCCAAGTGATAATTTTATGGGCCAATTTCCGCTCTAACTCCGACAGGTTTTTTCGTTAAAATATTAATAAAATAACTCTTTAAGATTTTAATCCGTTTTTGATTTAAATTTTATTACTTAAAATTAAAAACGGATAATAAATAATTTACTACTACTAAATTTTAATTTACTTACTTTCCTCAGATGATATATTATCTTTCTGGTTTGCTAGTTTTGATTTAACAACCTGCAAATACAAGAAAATGTTAGTTTGTAATTATTCTCCTTTCCATCCAAAATTTACGGCCTAGGTAAAAATATGAGAATGATAATAGCAAAGATAATGATACTGTCTTAGCAATGTGAAAATGTAAATTTGGTGGATGACCATGGGACTATAGATATTATATCAGAAATTTAGACATTAACAACTAACCTGGCGATTTATTCATCGCTTTATTAATTATATAAAACAATTCAACATTCATCTTCATATACAAACAATAGCTATTTTAATAGTCAAAGGTACTCCTCGCATCACGTAATTTACCAATCTGACTACTGCTAAACAGTTAATTGCGAACGTGCCAGTAGCTAACATTTGATATAAGATTTGCCCATATTCACAACGCTGTCACCAACAGACCTTGGTGACTTACAACCATTGAATACTGCAATGTATTCCTTTTTACCTTTAAAACCTATCCAACAGTTCACTGCTAAACATAAGCTTCCCGCCTAGATGGCCTTAATATCCTCCAAATTTTCCATAGCTGCCACGTAAGGCCGATTAAAAAACCACAGTTATTTATTTTTTATTTGTTGTTGACGAATGTTACAAAAATACGACCCCCAGTCCCCGGCGGCCCCGCGATTCCCAGCTACGGTGGCGATCATGATAACAGCGGAGCAGGGGTGCTGAGAATCTCCGTTGGAGGTTCGGTTGCCACCTAAGATGACTCGACCTAGCAACATATTACGCACGCACCCAGAGGACTAACGAGAAGATCCTGGAGCTAGAAGAAGAAATAGACAAGTTGCGCTGGAATATTATAGGATTAACTGAAGTCCGAAGAGAGGAGGACGTCACCAAACTCGGCACATCCTGATGAGGAGGTGGAGGAAATGTATGAGGATATATCTAGAGCCATGCATTCCCCCAAAACCCACTATTAGGTGTAAATGGGAGACTTCAACGAAAAACTAGGCACAAGAGAGAATGCTGAGTAGAAGGTAAGAAAATTTGGAATAGGGCAATGGAACCCAAGGAGCCAGCAGCTGGCCGACATTATGGAGAAAGAGGAATTCTTTATGATGAACTCTTTCTTTCAGAAGCGGCATTAAAGGAAGTGGATCTGGTTGAGCCTCGATGGTTTGACAAAAATGAGATTAACTTAATTATGACGACCAGACTATAAGTGTCCAGAGATGTTATATACATGGTAGAGCCATGCTGCAGCTATATTAATAGTATAGTTGTAGCACGAATGGATGGGTTCGACCGGGAAAGGACCACGCTCTCACAGAATACCAGCGTTAAATAGCAGCTCGATACTGCTGTGTTTGCTTGTGTATGGTGAGTGTAGAGAACCAGAGATCCATTTTACTGGAAAAAAGGCATTCCATCTTAGTCCTCACGGGTGACGAAGCACCTGTATTTTGATTCTTCATTAAGGATAAATGTAGATGTCTATGGGTTACAGCAAACACTTACCATCAGGTGAACTGTGTGCCCGTTTGTCACCCTATCCTATAAAAAAATGTCTCAATGATTGCGAGGGTTAAAACCGGCAGCGATAACCGAATGATTAAGGCACACTGTACCTAAACGTTAAGTTTGAGAGGTCACGTCTAATGAAGTCAACGATCCGTACCCCTCGTGCTCTAACCCAACGTCCCGAAACCTTTAAGCTCGAGTTACAAAACCGTTTTCAGTGCCTAGAAGATTGCAATGCAGTCGACGATATGAATGACAAGCTCGTGGAAACTGTCCATGTGGTCGGAGCTAAGTTCTGCAAGATCTGCCGCAGGAGAACACAAAAACTCTACGATCACACTCTTGATTTCATTGCTGTTAGACGGGAAATGAAGCTGCAGTTTTCAGATTTTTTGACAGCATAAAGGCAACTGAACAGACAGATCTCCAAATGCATAAGGCGGGACTTACGGAACTTTAATACTACTTGTATTGAAGAGCGATCGAGCGGAACCAGGGCTCCAAAATCTTTGCTAGAGATCTGTCTGCCAGAAAGAGCCCACTGTTGAAGCTGAAGACTGAGTGTGGCATCGTTGATCCCGGGACACCTGAGATTTTGAGTGGGAGGTTCTATGGGCAGCTATATACATCATCGTTGGAACCACACGCAAGTGTGAGTAACGCTCCGGGAACAAGTCTTATCCAACACTATTCCGATAATATTCCAGACGTCAGTCTGAGTGAGATTAGAATGGCTCTCCAGCATCTTAAAAACGGCAAGACCCCAGGCGAGGACGGAATTACAGCGGAGCTTTTAAAAGCGGGTGGAAAACTGGTCCTTGAAGTCCTTCAGAAACTCTTTAATTCCACCCTCCATGGTGGCACGACACCGGAGGCGTGGAGCAGAAGTGTGGTGGTCTTGTTCTTCAAGAAAGGCGACAACGCTCTTTTGAAGAACTACAGACCGATTTCCCTTCTGAGCCGCGCCTACGTGCTGTTTTCGAGAGTCATTATGAATCGTCTCGCATGCAGACATGAAGACATCCAGCCTCCCGAACAAGCTGGTTTCCGAAAAGGCGTTAACACCATAGACCACATACACACCCTTCAGTAAATTGTACAGTACACCGAGGAGTACAATTTGCCACTATGTCCTGCGTATGTGGACTGTGAGAAAGCCTTTGATTCCGTCGAAATTCGGGTGGTGCTGCAATCACTTTAGTGGTGCCAAGTGGACTGTTGGTATATCGAAGTGCTGAAGTATTTGTACATCAGAGATACGATGGCTATGGGTGTAAAGAACCAGAGTACGAATCCTATCGAAACTGTAGAGCGATGTAAGACAGGGTGACGTTATATCCCCAAAACTCTTCACCCCTGCATTGGAATACGTTTTCAATCTTCTGGACTGGAAACGATATGGTGTTAACATCAACGGTGAGTACCTCACTCACCTTCGATTTGCCGACGTATATCGTATATCGTCGTCATCCTTATGGCAGAATCGCTGGAGAACCTAATAACTATACTCCTCCTCGACCTCAATAGTGTCTCCCATTGGATAGGTCTTAAGATGAACATGGACAAAAAAAATATCATGGATATTTTCCATGTCAAAACAAGACTGTACAACCAGTGGATGTTACCAGAACTATGGACTGAGACGTGGTCCTTCACTGCGAGCTGGATGAGGAATATCCAGGTCGCTCAGCTAGCTATGGAGTGGGCTATGCTCAGAGTTTCTCGGCATGATAAATTTAGAAATGAGGATATCTGCAGTAGAAGCAGACTGACCGACATAGCCCAATTGGATTAGTAAGCTGAAGTGGCAATGGGCAAGCCATATAGCTCGAATAACTGACAACCGATGGGAAAAAAAGGTTCTGGAGTGGCGATCTTGTACCTGCGGATGAAGTGTAGGGCGTCCCCCACTGGATGAAGTGACGACCTGGTAAGACATGCAAGAAGTCGATAGATATAGGTGGCATAGGACCGTGCTTTGTGGCATTTCTTGGGGGCGGCCTATTTTCAGTACTGGACTTGTGAAGGGCTGTAATGATGATGATGATGATGATGAGACACTGCTTTACATTTACTAGTTGGTTTCCTTTTTTTTGACTTTTATGACGCCCATGAGACGATATGAGGTAGTGGATTCACTTACACTGACACTACGCGTTTAACCTCATTTTAGTAAATATTAAATTTAATTCATACCTTGTCAACATAATCACAAATCAATTTCTTGTTCTTTTCTAGTTTTTTAGAGTCTGGTAAAAGTTTGTAGAAAGCGTCGATACGCAACCAGGGTTGGCACATACGGGCAGCAATCAGCGAGCTATACTCATCAAACGCAGCCAAGAAAGGCTGATCAGGTTGCGATTGTGCATTCGCCTTAACACCAAATGCCGTTTCTGTATGAAAAAAAAAATACGTCGCTCAAGATGATCATTGAATTATATTTTGTATTAATTTTTTCATTACAGGCTATCAAATTTCACTGCTGAACATAAGCTTCCCCAAATATTTCCTGCTACACGGTAATATTTCGTATGCATCGTAATTGTACACGCCCCTAGCTGCCACCAAGGATGACGGGATTAGGGTCCATGAGTAATCCCATCGACGAGCAGCAGAGGGACGGGGCCAGAATATGCATACGTGGAATTTCCTAATTACAATAAACAATAAGGGAGAAAGCTAGAAACACGTAGTACTTACCATTATCCGAAGCTAACTTCGCACCAAGGCTTGGGCAGGCCGTGAGTGTGTGTAATAGTGGATGGCGAGTAGTGTACAGTGAGGTGTGAAGGTGTGGGGCTTTGGCAAGCATAGGCGACTAGCAGCGGCCTAGTTCTAGGCTGCTCCAAAATGCTGCACCGCTTCAGACTGCTTCGGCGCCGGACCACTTCTTCGTTCGTCACAATGACAGTCCATTAACTCTATCGTACTATTAACTAACTTACAGAAGCCACTAACTCTCGTTTGTTATAAAGCCTAACACACAAAATGAACAGGGAGTGTCCGGATCAAAGGTCATTACCGGTTCGCGTAGCAACAGTTATTTCTAGAATATCAAAGGTCGCACTAGCTAATATTGTCGAATGCACTTATACAGATTCTGAGTCGGACACAATGAGTCCCTGGGAAGCTCTCCAGCAAGGAATGCGCGACAGCAATCCTAGACAGAATATTTACTATCCGCGCCTAATTATTCCGAGTTCCCTAACAAAATTGACAGCGTGCGGACGTCAGCACAGCTGGCAGACGACTCTTTCGCCTTTACGCGTTCTCAACCCACCGCTCGGCCGACGTCAAAACCGGTATGGCACCGAGCCGCGCGCCCTCTCGCGTTAGTTCCTGAAATTAGCGTTTGGCGCGAACAAACCCCCGTCCCGGACATAAGGACCTATGTCCGCGAGCAAACCGGCAAGCGGGACAGGGTCGCGACAGCACGTTGCAAGACCGAATCTACACCAAAACTAGGCGACATCAGATCTTGCAACCCTAGCCAACGCCTCAAAATTAGAGGCCCAACGTGGACAAGCCGGAGGGTTGAACTGGATGCCCTTCCTGGACATCGCAGCCCATAAATAAGTCCTATTTCTAGACAGAAGTCTAACGACCTCCTTCAAACACCTATCTGTGCTCCTATGATTAGTTCCGCAATCCGAACGGATCAGGTCTGCAAACAGCGACGCGACACGAAGCGGCCCAGAGTGACCCACTAAGCTTCAGGGCAGAGAGCACCCCCAAGTTCCACATGAACGTCGTCTGTGGAGAGCCGAATGAAACGCACAGATAGTCCCTAGTATGAATTTTCAACAAGTAGGCATAACCAAGCCATCCACCATATAATCATTTACCAAATGGTGTGACAGCTGATTTGCATCTGATAATCTACAAACTAGCCAGCCTGTTAGACAAGTAGTCCTATGCTCATATTTTAACTAATTTTTCAAAGTATCAATGTTCAACTACAGAATCAATTCAACCAAATTAATCACCGATGCACATCGGTCAAATTGACAAATTAAACAAAACAATAAACGCAAGAGACAGCCCTATTTCTCATTTAAATAACTTAGAGAGTGCCAACAAAATGTGAACCAAAGGAGAATCGACTCCCACTCCCTTCGGCACAAATAGGGTTATCTAATTTCAGCCTTCCTTTTCACAAAGCAAAATGATTAAACACTATCGCAAACATATACATAATTTTCCAAACAGCGCGATATTCAATTTCAAATGAATTCAAACTTTCCTTTCAGCAAACAGACGCAACAATCAAATACCGTGATTAAATATATTTACAAAACATATGCAGCAGCATTTAAAGGAGTAGATTAAATTCAATTCTTTTAATCACAACCGCTACAAATATGGAAATTTCGCGGAAAACCCAAAAGCATTTTTAATTTTAATTTAAATAATTTTTAACTAAGTGCTCGACCAAACCAAATCTAATACCGTGGTGGGAGCTAAGGCGGCAGCTAGCCAGGGCCGCCTCCATCAAATGGGGAACAGTGGTACACCAGTCGCGGCCACTCAGCTAACGGGAGTGAGAAGGGTCCAGCGGACCGATGAGTGGCCATGAAGTTCCTCTCCACACGCTGAGGGGGGAGGGCATGACACCCCCACCCCTGGGGAAACTACCCCCCGACTGGTCGGGGGAGGGACCCCTTTCAAACCTAGGGCCTGGTGGCTGGCCGGCGGGCGCCAAGAGTCGCCCGGCAGAGGGCGTGGCTGAGCACCTCCGCCCGTGGGGGCCGAGGGCCTGGCAGAGCCGCCGTTCGCACCCAGGCACAAAACTGCATGGTGATTGCCTTGGCAATGCAGACAGGGCCGCCGATGCGGACAGTCTCGCTGGAGGTGCCCTTCCAAACATGAGCAGCACCAGCGGCGCTCCTTGGCGATAATTCGCCTCTCCGGAACCAGCTTACCTAATAATTTCGGGCACGACGTTACCCGGTGATCAGATGCTCGAAAATAGGAGCAGGGGGTTTGACGACGACTTGCCTGGCGGATTCAGCCTCTCACTGGGCACGGCTCGTAAGTCGTCAACGGTGCCCGTCGCGTTCTCGATCTGCCGGCACTACTCCTCCAAAAACCGCAGCAGGTCATTGTAGGGCGGAATATAGGAGGCCTCGTCCCCGCCGTACCTCTCCTCAAAATGGATTCGAAGGTCGAGAGGTAGACGGGACAGCACGATTCGGAGCAACAAAACAGCCCATTCGCCCACTGGTAAATCCAGCCGCCTCAACGTATTTCAGGCTACCAGGACTGGATCCAACAGGTCCGGACGTAGTCTGGCCCGGTCACTAAGCAGCGGGAGGCTTAGAAGCTGCTTCACATGTTCGTCCGCAATTAGCCGCACGTTGGCGTATCTTCTGTCTAGGAGGTCCCGAGCAGTCTGGTAGGCGTCGTCTGACAATCTCAAGTGGCCGACGACGCCCAGGGCCTCCCCCTCCAGTGAGGCCAGGAGGTACGCCATCTTCTGGCTCGGTGTCAAGTCCTCCGGGCGTCCACTAGGCTGTCGAAAAGACCAACGAAGGTCAGCCATTCGGAAAGGACCCCGGAGAACTTTGGCAGGTCCAGAGTTGGGAGTCGTCCCAACAGCTCCGGCTGAAGCTGCTTGCGAGAGGACTCGGGCAGGCCACTCATCCGAGCTTCACGCGCCTCCTCGGCATACCTGCCTTCAGCCTCGATCAACTCGTCCGTGAGCGAAAAGGACTGCTCGTAGTCCGCGAAGCAGGAGTCCAGGACTCCCTTCTCCACATCGGAATACTCGAGCTCAGCGTAAGCCTCCTCCACTGCGGCCCCTCGAGCATCCACCTGCTCGAACCGCTTCATCAAGTTATGGACCCTATCGGGTCGACCTATCAAAGCATGGGCGCTTGTGGCCCAGCGTAACTCAGTCCGCAGGCAACGGATTAGTAGCTTGGGCGATGATATCACTACTAAATACAAATTACGACGCGGCTCGAGCATAAATTAGAAAGATAACAAATAAAAAATACAACAAAAAATTAACAGTTAATAAATGCAGTTCCTATCAAATCGCGTTGAATAGAAATTACACAAATACGAATTACTACGTATCAACCAAATACAAGTTAGCACAAAAGAAAAGACATAAATCAAATTAACAAATAACAAATACTAGTGCGATCAAATCAAGTTAAATTCAAATGGCGCAAATACAAATTACTACTCTTTAGTTCAAGTATAAATTACAATACAAACGAAGATACACATCACGGTCGATCAACAAAAAATGCCTAGCTCGGAAATCGACCCTTCGATAAGTAATCCACTACAACTATCCGACAACGATAATTAACCGATTACGTAAAAATAACCATCTACCTACATGACGTATATCTCTGGAAAAACTCCCGCTTGCGCAACCTAGGGCGCGGGTTTCCAATCTACCCACTAACCAAAAAAAGGCAAGCAACAAAGCAAAATAATTTTATTATTACGTACAAAAAAAATATTTTTACGTGTTACGGACGGGCGTGATTGTAGACACAAAATTAACCCAATCAAACCAACGCTCCCTGCCACCAGAATTGCTTAATTTTTATCAAACACTATGGTCGGGATCGACCGGGGAATCGAATCCGGAACCACGCTCTGCTACCAGTTTGTACACGCCCCTAGCTGCCCCAACCAAGGATGACGGGATTAGGGCCCATGAGTAGTCCCATCGACGAGCAGCAGAGGGAGGGGACCAGAATATGGCCACGTGGAATTTCCTAATATTCCTAGTACTTACCATTATCCGAAGCTAACATCGCACCAAGGCTTGGGCAGGCCGTGAGTGTGTGTAATAGTGGATGGCGAGTAGTGTACAGCGCAGTGTGAAGGTGTGGGGCCTTGGCAAGCATAGGCGACCAGTAGCGGCCGAGTTTCAGGCTGCTCCAAAATGCTGCACCGCTTCAGACTGCTTCGGCGCCGGACCACTTCTTCGTTCGTCACGATGACAGTCAATTAACTCTATCGTACGATTAACTAACTTACAAAAGCCACTAACTCTCGTTTGTTATAAAGCCTAACACACAAAATGAACAGGGAGTGTCCGGATCAAAGGTAACTACCGTTTCGCGTAGCAACAGTTATTTCTAGAATATCAAAGGCCGCACTAGCTAATATTGTCGAATGCACTTATACAGATTCTGAGTCGGACACAATGAGTCCCTGGGAAGCTATCCAGCAAGGAATGCGCGACAGCAATCCTAGACAGAATATTTACTATCCGCGCCTAATTATTCCGAGTTCCCTAACAAAATTGACAGCGTGCGGACGTCAGCACAGCTGGCAGACGACTCTTTCGCCTTTACGCATTCTCAACCAACCGCTCGGCCGACGTCAAAACCGGTATGGCACGGAGCCGCGCGCCGTCTCGCGT